TGTAGCTTACCATGGTACATGCTTTAGGTCGCGTCATAGCATATGCACGTGACTGTGAAACTAAACCGTGGGGTGTTTAGTGTGTAATGCATGTGTGGGTATAATGGACCAAACTAGAACTCGATGTAATAGAGATAATGGAATCAGCGAGAGACTGATAGACTGAGAGAGAACAAGCAGTTCATTTCTTGTAGGAGAGAAATGATATCATAAGAGAATGTTCTAGCACTAGGCTGTGAACAACACAGTAAGTCTGGAGCAAGATATAAGGAGGTCTCAACCTCCATCCATTTGTTGTAACTAAGTTTCCTTTATACGAGAATATAGAGTCAAGTCTTACATATCACGAGAACACACGCGACAGCGATTATAGACACCTACTGTGAGCATAACTTCCCCAAGAGTATCCATCGTCCTGCTCCCGTATAGCCTAGTTAATATAACATTGACTGAAGAATTTTCACCATCCGAAGATATGATAAAGCCCAAGTATTTAGTTTCTTTAACACTAAATTCGCACTTGTCAATATCTAATCCCAATCCAGCTTTATTAAGCTTTTCAAGTACTAGCCGCACGTGCCTTTGATGATCCTTTTCATCTCCATTGGTGAAGACAAGTATGTCATCCACATAAGCCGAACAAAAATTGTCGAGGTACTCATGCGAAGCTTTGTTAATATATCTCTGGAAAGATGCCGGAGCTTCATTCAGTCCAAACGGCATGACAAGCCACTCGAATAATCCAAATCGAGTTCGGAAAGCTGTTTTCCATTTGTTGCCATCCTTGATGCGCAACTTATGAAACGCAGATTGTACGTCTAGCTTAGTGAACCATTTAGCTTTACTCTGTTTGGCTAGTGTCTCTTTAATTATCGGAAGCGGGTAGCAATCAGCCTTTGAAATAGCGTTCAAGGTACAATAGTCAACACAAAATTGCAGACCTCCACCTGGTTTCCGAACAAAAAGTACTGGGGCCCCTGCTGGCAAACTACTTGCAGGAATATACTCTTTGTCAAGTAGATCTGTTAAGGTCTTTCTCAGTACCAATGATTCATCCCTTGAAATTCCATACAGGGGTCCCCATGGTGTCAGGGGTCGGAGGACAGGAGACTTATAAGGAGAGGGATTGGGGCGGAGACTGAGACGAGGACGAGATGTAGACGAGGACGAGATGTAGACGAGGACAGAGACTAGGACAGAGGCGAGATTCTAAGATGTAGATAAAATACAAGACAAAAAGCTACAGTACAAATACATCCCAAAAGCTTCCTTGGGTACCTGAGAACGGTCACTATAATCAAGGGTGCAATAGCCCACAGCTGTTACATAGTAACTGATCAGTATCTTGACTAGTGACTGTTGCTATCACAACACTGTAACCATCACAACGCACTAACCCTATTCCTGAGTGTATTCATGGGGCGGTTGGCCAGGTGCAATACAATATCACAAACTGGTATGTGACACATGGTATTTTTTTATCAGACTCAAGCCTTAACTCGTTTCATGGATCATTGTGGCATAGCGTATTATGAAACGCCATGCGGACGGCTAAGTTAAAACACAATTAATAGTTCAATGCACTTCTAAAACCAGCAAGGAAGACTGATAAGAATGGGCTGGTTTCATTAGGTGATGTGTAGCAGATTGTTGGGCATAGGGGCTGTGTGCTACGTGCTATTTGGTAATTTTATGTATATAAATACTCGGCGTGAAGAAGCATTATTCTTCACGCAACGTCTTCTTCAATTACTTTAACCATACATTTGTTTACCCATCTCTTCTTCGGGAAGACCATTTATCTATTTCCAGCTCTTCATCAGCAAGACCCACGTGTAGCCTCTATCGCTACTATCTACCTATTTGTCTCTTCCTAGAGAAGACCAGTCATCCCTTCGACCCACTCATCACCTTCATCTACCACCTAGATCTTCGTTAGACCACATATGCCACCTGTGGAACATTGTCCTAACCTCGCCTTGAGATCTCGTGATCACCTCCTTGGCAATGAGGCGGAAGTTTGTCTGTTATCTCTTTCCGAAAAAGGTCCGCAAATTCTTTGCAGTGATCTATATCACGGTTTCAGTACAACATACTGGGGCAATCTTGTAGGTACAGTATATTAATTATAATTCTTCAGAGAGAGAATTCCTATAGCTAGAATACAAATATATATACACCCTGAGATACTCCTCTTCTGTAAGGTTCTCCCTATATCTAGAATAACATGGAATCCTCGACAATACCATAGAAGATTCTTGATACACCTGTTGTCCTCATGAACCTTCAGTATGCTTCCAAAAAGTTTATTGAGAATCTTCTAAGCTCCTTGTATTCCGAGATCCTCCCCGAAGATTCCCTTGCATTCATTGCCTGCGCTAGCCCGCGGAGGCTACAGGAACCCTTAGGCTTAACAGCCGTTACATTATAGCAAGTTTGACAAATTTTATTCCTTGTTCAGAATGGTTGATTTGCCATTTTAATCTCTTGTTGAAGAATTTTGCATCTTATTCCTTTGGATTAACAACCTGCGCAGCAAAAGATAGATCAAAAGAGTCTTCTGGTTGACATATACTAGCGATGTATGCCCCGCGCGCACGTTGAGCAATTTATTGATCTTTCGGAGTTACACCTTTTCGTACTTTCCCCCTGGTACCTGACAGCTCAGCTTTGAAAGTTTCGACAAGCTTCAGGTTTAAAGTTTGCCAAGCTTGTTTTAGAATTATTGAGCCTTTGTCTGTTGTTACCATTCCCCCATTAAATTTAAGAGGCAATAATGGCGTAAGCTTTTCCCGATCCTTAGCTAAGAATTTGGCATTTTTGAATGCTTGATATTCTTTGAATGCAAAACTATTATTGGCTACAAACATTGTATCATCTGTTTGCAGACCCAATATTCCAAGACATGGTCAATTACTGTGGAGTTAGCAAGGATCATAGGTTGAAGGGGACATATGTTAAGGTTATGTGTTAAATGGGAACATAGTTACTTGGGATGTGTCACAATGTTTGTTCAGATGGTTTGATACTTGGTAATGTGATTGCTGGCAGGTGTCCAATACTTTTCCGATGATGTACATGAGACAGAACATAGACTACTTATATACTCTAATATGACCCTTGTCATTGTCTACGCTCTCTCTCCTGACTTACTGCCAACAGCGTGCCTGGGTAAAACTCTGCAGCTCATGAGTCCATCTCTCATGAGAGGCATCTGCTGTTCCGGTGGCTGGCGCGCGCGGTCCGAGTACGCGTCGCTGCAATGCCTCAATCACTTACGTGTAATATCCCAGCTGAGAAATCCTGAACCTAGCTGTTCAGGAACGACAGCAATCCAGTCCATGGTTTGCGCCTGTGGTTTGTATACACACCACAGCGTCGCTCCAATTGTTCCCATACAATGTCTCAGCTCTGCAGTCCTTAGTCCATTACTCAGGAGCGGAAGCAGTTGTATAGTTCCGATAGTGCGCTAGGTCTGCATGTACCTCTGAGCGCTATCCCGTAATTGCTCGGCAATACCTAACCGCTCATGGCTAGCGCACCTGGTCAGTAGACTCTTCACGTTGCTACCCCAATTGTTGCCTTGCAATGACTCAACCTGGCGCTCCCAAGTCCGAGACTCAGGAGCGGCAGCAGTTGTATCCATGGTCAATGCACGACGTGCATATGCACCTGTCGGTGTGGAGCCGGTCATTGACAAGCAATATCACAACATAAGGCACTCTCCACTAGTTGCGCTGTCAAGGGCGCATGCAATATTTTGAAACAAGAAGGTGGCTTCTTGATTCCTGGTGTCAGCGGCGGAGGTAGTTGACAGCAGCAATTCTGTCAACGACTCCTCTCCACTCGGTTTTGTGGAGGTAGGGAGAGGGGGATGGTGATTAGGGGGGAGGGCGGGGGGGAAGAGTATCCATGTTGAGTGCTTGGGGAAACTTTGTAGTTTGCCAGATTTTGTAGATGTGTCAAACATCTCATAGTTTGGAACCTACTGAATATGGTAATGAGAATCATTGGATAGTGGGATGACACATTTTGTCGAATTATCTAACTCGAGCTTTGATATCTCACCAGGGATATGGTGATCAGGATGTTCAGGATAGTCAAAGCTCCAACTTGAGATCTTTTGATCTTCAACACATGTAATATATTTCATATGTAATTTTGGGAAACAAGGAGAAGATAATCTCTCCTCGAGATAGTTTCAAATGGGTATATAGCATCACTGCTGGAGAGGAGTTGAGGAGCAGAGATTTCATCAATACAAGTTTACTTTACATTTTTCATTTGACCCTCAGTATCTAAAAAGATGTTAGTCAAAAACAATGTTAGATTTTGACATGCAAGGTGACTTGAACTATGATCATATGAAAACTTGTCAATCACGTGATGTATATCACATGCCAAGTCTTGGCACTGTCTGGTGAAATTTTCTATTAAATTGATCGAAATTTGTGAAATTGCCTTTATTTACTGAACAAAGGTGATGCAGATATAGAAAAATAAATCAATTTGTGGCTCTCACAATTACGCCCTCAGGGCTCCAAACATGCAGTGAGCAAGGCAGTGTAGGTGCTTGAACATGAAACACCTACACATGACATTAATGCCAATCTAGTCTTGGCATTACTCATCAAACACCCATACCCCGTATATATACAACTCGCTGTAGTTTCTGCTATTTCTCCTTCCATAGCCAATCTATCTCACATCCCCAAAGCTGCCTCTCTACCTTTTTCATACATCGTGATTCTCACTGACGCGAAACTGAAAATATAATTTATTGGTTTGTAGCATGTGTTGCATGTGTTGCAAGATAGTTCTTGATGAAAAGGCGGATCTATTAAGTTTTATGACACATATGATGAATGGCACTTTGTATGACTCCAGTCCAGCCCCATCATTATCCAAGCATCAACAGGATGGTCGAGGTCCCACTTGAACTGGAAATTAAACAACAATCAAACTTCCAGCATTATCTACTTTGCGTGGCAGTATAAAACTTAACCAATGATGGTGCAGAATGATTTTTTTGGTCCTCTTGCTCCACTACCTGCCACCCTGCTCCCCTCTCGAGTAGTCCAGCTCTCTTTAAGCATGATGCCAGAAACTCGATAAAGGTTATCAATTAAGAGGTGATGCATGACATTATGATTAAAATTGTCGTCTTCTTCGGCTTAAGTGAAAATTAACTGTTATACATAGCTGTAAAAATATTATGACACTTACTGTACCATAAGCGTCGAAGCTGATATAAATAGTACATCGTTGTTCCCTGGTCACTATATATTATCTTATTTGTTTGTCCATCATTTAAGTATTCTTGTTCCATTTCATGTGATGATCTCCCTATCAATTTCTTACTTATGATAAAATTTACCGCTTCCCATTTTTCTTCTATATAGTCAGATAGGGTAAATATGCGCCCCAAACAATCAAATCTTTTAGACCCTGAAGATATGTGAGCTGTTGTAGAGCTAGCAGAGGCTGCCACAAATAAGCTGGCGCCTTGAAGGATTGTGGCCACCTTAGAAAAGTACATTATGATTGATTGCTTTGCCTAAAATGAGATCTGTCTGGTAATCTATGGAAGAAACTTGCGCTATATGAGATATTGTTGGAGCGAGGGCCAAAGTAGTTATATGTCAATCTCTACTACCTTTCGACCGAAATTCTATGCCATTTAAATTGGAAAGACCCTGATTTAGCCGCGTTGAACTTCTTAATCACTCTGTAACCATTCCTCTGCCCAAGCCTTTGGCGGAGTCTCTTGGCGGCGCTATGTACATGTCAAGACCTGGAGGATTTCCCTTCCAAAAAAGCTTACCATTTTGGCAAAGCCAACAATTTTTGGTCAAGTTACATTGCTGATTTGGTAATAGTTTATCTTTTGTCTTATCTCCAGCACTGGTATTCTTTGATTGATTCGTAAGCTCTGGTAATTCCCTGCCCCATTGTATGTTGAAAGTATGAGTTGAATGACCCGTAAGTAACTGCCACGAAGCTTGCCCGCAATTTTTGATCTGTTGTACAGTAGCTCTTAATTTTAATGTTCTCTATCGCACCTCAGGTGTTATTGTTATTGTTGATGTTATTGTACTACTTGGGCCATATAATATATAGCACATTGGGCTCCTCTCTGACCCAGTCTACACCTTGTATAGAGTTCCTATCCTCTTTTGTTACTCGAAAGATCATTGATATATTCCCCCTGAAGAATAGCCATTCAGCTCATTATTTACCCGTGGAATTTGTCCACCTTTTCCACGTAACCTTCTACCCAAAAAAGTAAAAATGGTAGCAATGGAAACTGCGTGCGCAGGAAAAAGTCTCAAAAACCTGCAGCCCTAGCCAGGCGAGCCCTAGACACCGGGACTACATGAGGTGCGCACATTCATCTATATCTCCCTTCTTTGTAACAGTCGAGGTCGACTTGATCCAATCCGCCATCTCTGTATTGGGTGCTGGGTACACTCCGCAAACTCATTGGATGGCCTCTCCTCCATGATCAAGGTTGGGTGGTGAGTAGGGCTCTGACCCTACCATCTGATCTGATCGTGGTTAGCTTCATGATAATGGTGAAAGGGGAATGTGTTGAGAGATGAAGACAATAAAGACCGCAAAAGCGATTGGGAATCCTCATCAAAGTGAGGAATTTGTTACTCAATCTCGGCCCTGCAGACTCTACAAAGGGAAGAGGTGAGTTGCTACAAAAATTGACAACTCCATATTTCGAAGCTATGGTAAATAACATCAGAGATATGACAAGAATTGCACAGTGGATTCAAAAGGAAGGATGGCTAGAGCAGTTTCAGATAACCGGGGAAATCGAGGCATTAATCAGGCGAAGAGAGGAAAATGGAAACACAGGACAAGGACGGAATCCACACTGACAACAACAGTGTGAGTGCACTTCCTAGAGGTAAGACTAAAATGGCGTAGAGTCCAATCAGACAGCTAAGGGGGTTTTTCTGCAAGGTTTCCTCCTATGTAAATATTAGAGTTTGTAAACACCTGCGTGGGCCCATAGGGCGCCAAATCAGGCTAGATCAAATCAAATTCAAAAACAAATTAATATTTAAATCTTTTAATTTTTTCATGAGGACCCATACACTTGACTTTTATAGCTGAAGACTATCCCTGATATGGCCAGGCACCCTTGAAGAGGTTTGAATGAGAAGGTTCTTAGGAAAAGGTGATAGGAGAAGGTTTCCGAGAAAACTCCGACAGTTAGAGATGGAGGGGTTAGCATCATGACTGCATTTGCTATAGTCTTAGTTGAGTTCTAGTACTGTCTCGAGTTAGACTTAAGGAAGCTGGAGCTGCCATGTAGTAGCTCTCCAGCTTCTCAATCTTTCATTCTTTTGATCTTTGATCTCGCAATCTAGCGTTTACTTAATATTATAATCTTATATTCTCACAGTCCAATATTCTCAGTCTGTCACTAGTGGTTACACTATTTGTATTTCTGTTGACCCTAAGTTATCATCCTTGATTGTTTGCTCGGCAACTCGAATTCCTGACTTTGTGCCTCTCGACTATCTTGTAGTTCTCTGACCTCTGACCACCTGGCACCTCGCCAGTCAAATTATATCTGAGTATGCTTTGTTAGCAACTATAATCCTAACAGGGGTTGGATGGTGCAGTGGTACACCATCCGGGTCATTCTCCCAAGTAGATACTGGGTAGCTTGAACACTTATCCCATTTGAGACAGGAGAAAGCTGGTTCGAGTCCAGTAAAACACACAAATCACTCTCTCTTGCGGGGAAATTGTACTTGTGGGATGATGAAAGCACACCCGGATAGCCAAAGGCTTTTCACACTTTTCCCTGTGGTGGGTGTGCACGGAAGAGGTTACACGCCTTAAGGGTTAACCTCGAATGGTACCTGCAAATGAAATCTGAGTGTGAGTGTTCCAAACGTCAAATTGAGTGTCAGGATTGCCTTCTGTATAATCTATATATGTGGAGATAACCAGAATCTAGTGTTCTATGATTCTGGTCTGGCCTTTCGGCCGAGTCGTTATGCACCTATCTCATGCACAATGTGGGATGGCGCCCTTTTGTCTGGATACCATCTGTTTGACCCATGTCTCTACCCTGCTGTCTACATGCTGCTCTGACATTGAGTTATCCTACTTAGAGGTACATACCTTCCCATTAAAGCCTGCAAGGGCCTCAGGGCACTAAATCATGATAAAAAATTATATATATATATAATCATAATTGTATTAGTACCTTACCCTCGGTAGACAACAATTTCCAGTATCCTTAGCGCAGGCTGTAACAGTCCCCATTGATTTTGTCTTTCATGGAAAATTGTTGGATAGTACCCTTGCTTGCAAAACTAGTATATGAGCTAGATATGGGCCTACATGAAGACTAAACCAATCTAATTAATATGCACAGGGATCTCACCCCACTCATTATGACTTATTTACTTTTTCTACCCAAAAAAGACTACACAGTCTCTTAAGGATGTCAAAGGTACAATTCTCAAAATGACTGGGATTAGATCCCTATGCATATTAATTAGATTGGTTTAGTCTTCATCTAGGCCCATATCTAGCTCATATACTAGTTTTGCAAGCAAGGGTACTATCCAAAAATTTTCCATGAAAGACAAAATTAATAGGGACGGTTTTCTACTCCAATGGAAATGTACAACAATCCTCATTTAAATTTTTAAATTTTTAAATTGTTAAATTTCAAATGATAATATCTAAAAATACACATTTGTTCCAAAAATAATTGCTCTGTATTAAAGAATTCTACATTGAAGCCCTTAGTATGGCTTGCAACTAAAATGATGTCAGGGTTTACAGACAGTGGACTAAGGTTAGGACGGAGAATAGGACGAGGACGAAGACGAGAACAAAGATGATGTCAAGTGAGTAGTTCAATTACAGGACAAGAAGCTACAGTCGAAACACAGCCCAAGAGCTTCCTTAAGTACCTAAGACCGGTCACTACAATCAAGGGTGCAGATCCCACAGCTGTAACATAGCAACTGATCAGTATCTTGACTAATGACTGTTGCTATTGCAACACTGTAACCATTGCAACACATTAGCACTATTCCTGAGTATACTCATGGGGCGCCTGGCCAGGTGCAACACAATATCATACAGCTAGTCTGTGACAGATGAAAGCATACTAGATTTTTTGTATTAGTCTGCTCCATCCTAATACTTTGTGTACCCTCCATTTTCCTTTAACACCGCTATACATCTTATGTGCATGTTAACCACACTTGACAGAGGCTTCTTTCAAGCAATGCATCTGCTGTAACCCATTTTATAGAGGGCATTTTAAAGTTAATGCTCATTACATCCCCATTGGCTGAAGGATACTATTGCTAGTTCCAAATAGCACATCTGTCGATTTTCAGGAGATTCCCAGACGAAAGCCTCAAGCTCATCAACTTGTTCCGCGCTTAATTTAGGTGGGCATACTTTGCGAGGTGTAGGATTTGTTAAAGTTATGAGCGTGAGCAAAGATGGAGGTTGTAGCGGAATCAGTGTCAGCGGTTAGACCAATGCAGTAAGTCTTGTATGAGGTTGTGGGAGGAAGATCCGAGTGGAAACAATTGTATTTGGATGTATGGCTCTGAGTAAAACCGAGATGATAAGAGTGAGATTGCGTGTTTGCATGTCTTATCAACTGTAGCTTTTGACCAATATATGTGAATCTCCATGGATCTTAAGTTATGATCCCTGTAGATGTAGATCTATGTACATACACATATATGGGCCAGGAATATAAAGCTAAATACATGTGTATTGGTAATAGATACGAGAAAACTATAACTTTCATTTAAGACATAGTCATCCGCTGGAATGCTAGTGTGAAATAAACGCTAATGCACATTAAACTTTCGGTGAATGATGTATTGATAACAGTGATATAGAATGGGGAATTTGATAGTCAAATTAGCTGGACTTACAAATAATTTATTCTTGGCATTCCAAGATATATCATATTTCAACAGGATTCTTAGTCTCTCGAGCACACGCAAATTGCACTTGCCTTCTTGTGAAGCTAAGTTCTTTGGATATATGTTGTGGTGTCAAGCCAAGTCTTCTTAATGCTCTTATTTCAATACATTGATTGCAAGTTAGATATCTGCAAACTTTAGTTTCTGAAGCGGACTTTTCGAGAGACATTGTTTACTAGAATAGAGGATGAATTGAGTGTGATGTTAAGTTTTAAGGACTGTGTTGGTTAGGCAGTCAAGATTGTTATTAAAAATGTGTTTCTCTAAGCAGTTGTTAGAATAAGACAATTGAACCATACTTCATGGCAAGCGGAGTGATAAGGAGAGACAGACTAACCTATTGCGAGCTAGCCCAACTGCTCCTACAGGGCTAATCCCTCAAACATCCCAGTTTCGAGGTTAACATTTTGGAACCTAGAGGCACTGTATATCCCCTCATACGCCTCCCATATGTTAAAATGTAATATATCTTGGAATGCCAAGAATAAATTATTTGTAAGTCCAGCTAATTTGACTATCAAATTCCCCATTCTATATCACTGTT